CGGGATCAGAAGAGGGATGAGGGAGGGCCGAAAGGGAGGATCCTTTGCTCTCAAAGCTGCTGAGGGTGGAATGGAAGAGAAAGATATTAGCACGAACGAAGTACAGTTCGTAGACTCGTCGGAACGATGTATTGTAGTTCTGCCCTTCGAGGAGGACGTGAAAAGCAGGAACATCGAATGCGAGGTATCTCGTGCGATTCTTTCCCTCTCCCCTCATCCTCGTGCAGATCACGAAGAACATCATCTTCCTCAAGCAGCGAGCAGACAGGCAGGAAGAGTCGGAGTGGGGAGGCCGGGGGATCGAATAGCCGTATTGATGGATTAAAGAGTATGAGGAGGAAAAGGATGGAGAGGAAGAGGAAGAGAAACAGGAGGAAGGAAAGCAGGAATATAGAAGAAGTGCCGGTAGCTGCTCAGCAGGAGAGCAAAGAGGACGTGGAGAAAGCGCTCCAGCTGCACGTGGCACTGATGAAGCCCTCCTTGCTGGAATTGCCTGCAGTTGCGGTGAGGGTGGAAGCATGTGGAAGTTTAGTTGACAGACGGTGGGGACTGTAGGAAAAAGAGGAGGAGCGGGAGGGAACAGAGAACGAGGAGCTGGATGAGCCGAAGGTGGCTTGGAAGAATGCGATGGATGAGACGATTGAAGAGGAGTGGGAAGACGAGGCGAGGTCGTAGAGGGAGGCGCTGAGCAATGTGAGTTGATTTTTGTTGTTTGCTGCTCACCGTCTGACCTGGGGATCAGGGGGGGACTCCCGAGAACATCATGGAGATGCTGAAGTCAACACAGAGGACAACGACGGTGAGCGGAGGAGGAGGAGAGAGGGAGAGCAGCAGCGCGAGCAGCAGCAGAAAGCCGGGGGGGGGACGGTGGTGAAGAGGAGTCACAGCAGCAGCAGAGGCAGAAAGAGCAGTTGAAGCAGTTAGGGAATATTGATTATGTGATGTGGTGATGAGGACAACTGGGAGATGGAGACAGGGAATGAGGAGGACTGGGAGAAGTAGGAGGAGGAAGAGGAGGAGAAGCAGCAGCAGCAGCAGCAGCAGGAATAGAAAGAGGAAGAGGAAGAGGAAGAGGAAGAGTAATTGGTGATGTAGGAGGAGGAAGTTGGGAGGAGAAGAGGAGGAGAGATGTGAATGTCTGAAACTTCGGCTGACAAAGCCCCGATCGCGAGCATCGTGTTCGTTCGGCACTCAGAGGTAAAGGCCTTCCGTTTGCGATCTGCCTCCTAATGGCACCAGCTTCTATAGCAGCTGCTTCTTCTGTCTCCACCATCACCACCACCTCCTCCTCCTTCACCACCTCCTCCTCTTCCACCACCACCACCACCACCACCTCC